TACTTCTGTTCTACGTCTGGCAACATTGCAAAAATATTGTTTTCGACTTGCTTTAGGAATTGGGACCCATAAGAAGTATTTACCCTTGGTCGCAATACGTGTCCATCTTAAGAAATATCTCTAGGTCTTTTTTATCTTTTTTAGATATTTAATCAATGACAAATGCGTACACCATGTTGGATGTTGAATAGAATACAAAATGACTATATCCTTGACCTGCTCGCAATTCAACAAAAAGACCACAAACAATAGGAACTTGAAGGTTCCAGTTTGACCCTGGCTATACGACCTCTAGCAAAATACCATATCGATGCCAAAAACGTTCAAGAAATCTACAGCAAGAAAGCAAAAAAAAATCCGTTATAAATTGTGTGATAGGTTACTTTCTAAAAATTTGGCAAACGTGAAGCAGATAATATAAACCGACTTAAAAAAAAAATCTGACTCTATTATTTAAACGATATATAGTGTCTGCGATAGATGAAGCGAGAGAGATGTTCCAGTGTCTTACGCAATCTGTACCATGTGCTTATTCTATTGCTTCTAATACCTAAGTTCTTTTAAACTTTTATCCAAGGCCTGGTTAATATCTCGTAATAGAAAACAAACATTAAAACCTCAATGTTTCTTATCGATTCTAAGAACTTAGACATAATGAGGAGCTACATATACACGAGTAAATGGCAAATTGAATACGCAGGTCAATATGGTAAAATAGTCTGCGTACAGGATGTCCAGAAAAGACATTCAATGGAGGACCACAGATTCCTTGGCCGGAATTATGACTAAACAAACTTACCTCTATCCATAGTAGATTATTTTAGGCGCTTAGAGGTGAAATCATTATAATTTTGGACATGAAAATTTCTGGTCGTTCTTTGTACACGTCTTTTCCGGACATCCTGTATATCTCCCCTTTGTAGGCACAAACATCCTCGTAGTTGGATTAGATATTTAAATTAGCCACTGAATAGTCGATCACCAAAGGATCCGGGACAGATTGACGTGCGCATAATCTTTCGTTGGTATATTTTAAGGTTAATACAATCAAAAGCCTTGTCAGTTATATTTTATGCTTCTCGGACATGCGATTCAGTAGCTATGTGTTCGTCGAGGTCATCGTTAAATTTTAATAAAGGAATTGCAAATACATTGTGGCTTGTTGACTGGCTTATTGTTAGTATAAAGAGCAGGGGTGCATAAAATATGTGAGACTGACACTGTTTTATTTAAAACAGCGTTATCTTCTATGTGATGTAATACTTTAAAGTTTAGAAGCCCTGCTTAGACATTAGGAGTAGACTACATATAGGTAGGATTGACTGATAGAAATATTAATTTAAAAAACTCAAGACACCGCTGATGAAATGACATGAGAAAAACGGCTCCTGTTCACAATAGAAATAATGTAATTATTTGCGTAACAATGAACAGCGTTAAAAGAAGTAATTGTGGAATCAAAAAAACTGGCAATATTTTAAGAACAATTATACTTTTACTCGTAATTTATGAAGTATGTCTATTAATATTCTACGTTAAGAGAATCCATTACTGACTATCCCTGGGGTGTCGCGTTAACTGACAGACAGAATAACTGAACAAGAGTACAGGGGTACAAGTTGCTTCTTGTATTAACCAGTAAACTGATTATGAAACTTCTAATATAACTCAGTGTTATTTCCTGACTGTGAATAAATAATAAGAACTTACCCAAGAATCTTACTTATTACTAATATTATAAACGCGAATGTTTAGATGGATGAATGGATGTTTGTTTGAAGGTATCTCCGGAATGGTTGAACGGATCTAAAAGAACACATAGGCTACTAGTTATTTTTTTTAAACCGCGCCGACGAAGTCGCGGGTGTCTGCTAGTCACCTAAATATGTCACTATCACATGTTCCAATAGCTTGTTGAAAACAAACTTTTAAAATTAGAATTTTGACGAATAGATGAAAGTTGATGTAGAGTACAATATAATGTATTCATGATGTGTTTTCCTTCTATTCTAGAATGGTGACCTGTGCATATCGATCCTGCATCCTCCGGTGGACGATCCTCAGTCCGGCGAATTGCCGTGCGAACGCTGGAACCCAACCCAGTCTGTACGCACCGTTCTGTTGTCAGTTATATCTCTGCTCAACGAACCCAACACCTTCAGCCCGGCAAATGTAGACGCCAGTGTCATGTATCGCCGCTGGCGTGACTCCAAGGGCAAGGATAAGGAGTACGAAAACATCATTAGGTAAATTACGTGTACAGTATATGTATATTCCATCCATAGATAAAAAAAAATTGGGCTTTATTTGATGATACATACATGTCTTCTTAATTATAAAGGTAAAATTGTTTAGATAGGTCTGTTATAATTTCTCATTTCCATAGAATACGACTTATCTCGCGATAGTTAAAGACAGTGAACGTATCAAAGCTAAAAAAACTTGGGAAATAATCTAGGACTGCAGTGTTTCTTTTATTAATTCCAGTTGAATAAAAAACTTTCCACTTCAAAGATAATATGCACTCCACAGTAATATAAAGACCTTGCGTTGACAATTGATTGTAATTTTATTGGTTAGTCTCCACTTTGTCTGGTAACTCTCATATAAGTCAAGAGATAAATTGAATTGAGCTGTTTCATAAAGTACCAATGAATTTGCGTAATCTTGTCGCCTCGAGAATGTTCCAAAGGAAGACTAAGTGCTTTGTTTATTAGAGAAATATTCTACAACTAGCTGTCGCCGACTAACTCCTCGCGGAAATAGAAACAAAACTTGATTAGTAGCCTATGTGTCGTTCCTGAGTATGTTCTACATATATGCCAAATTTCATTAAGATTAATGCAGCCGTTCTGGAGATACTTTTAAACTAACATTCATAAATATATCCATCTATCTATCCATTCAAACATTAGCATTTATAATATTAGTAAGATTGAATCATGATTATAATTTATTTCGTGGCTCGAACTAAAAAGCAGCACATATTTTGTTTTTATTTTCCCTTAATTTATACATTAATGTAGTTATTGTAATTTGTAGAAAACAAGCGCAGGTAGCGCGCATCGAAGCGGAAAAAGAGGGTATAGTTGTACCTCTGACGTTAGAAGATTACTGCATCAAGACACAAGTCAAATCAACGACGCAGGAGCCTCAGGTAAATTGCATAAATGTATTCCACACACAGATGTGCGTTCTATACAAGATTTGCGTCATTCAAATTTGAAATTCATACTTGCAAATTCGAAGGATAAGCAGCGGAAATGCATTGATGTATAAGATTTTGTGCTTATGAATAATATGGTCTGTGAAAATATATGCATGTTTGTATCTCTTATTTACTGTACATTATATTAAGACGTTTTGGAAATTTTCTTCTTCTCTTTATTTAATATCAAAGTGCGAACGGGCGAGGTGTTATCTGAATTCGCCGAAATAGTGAAACGAATGCTGCCCAAAGACATACAATATTATAGATGCGTGGCCAGGGTAGGAAGAGAAAGGAGACTAAAATTAGGTCGCCGACACGCAAACTCATCAGAAGATATGCGAATAATTTTCTACTTGACGCCTTTCTTGTGTGTGGTCGTGGTATTTCAGTCGGCCATTTTTACAACAAATGCTGCTGTTGCTAGCGTCTAACTTTTATACTTTTCTTATAAGAAGAGGAAACGAAAGAAGACTAGAATTGGGTTCCAACGTAGAATACCCTTCTTCACGTGACTTGGTCGTGGTATTTCCTCGGTCAAGTCGGACCATGTTCATTTTGCCGACTATGTATATCAACTGTCTACTGCTCTGAACTATTGTAATTATGTTGCAGTTGGACATGACAGATTTCTATGATGATGACTACGATGATCTCGATACGGATTCCGAGGAGGAGCTCGAGGGTGGCGAGGGGGACGGCGACGACAGCGGCAATGGGGAGTCGTGAGACTGCGCCCCGCCCGCGCCCCCGCCGCCTTCCCCGCCCCCGGCACATCGCGCTCGGACCTCCAGGACCAGTAAGACCAGGACCACAAAGCCAAGACACAAGCCATACACATCTAAACGATCGTAAAGTCATTCGAAAAACTTTGATTACCTGTGGGCGAAACTGTCAGTTTGACATTATGTCATTTGAAAACTTTATTATCTGTAGGACATTGTGAATGTAGTGCGGCTAATAACGAAATGCTTTGTTACAAAGATTTAAATATGTAGACAGGCCTTTATAAAAAGGTATTAAAGGAAATTTATGTGTAAAAATAATTCTGTTATAGTTTTATATTGTATTAAATTAAGGTCATTAATTAATTATATGTGTCGCCGACATATAATATTTGCTTTTTATAAGTTACTTCTGCGCCTTCCTAAATCTATGTTTAGAGGATAAATTCGGCTTTTGATTACTATTGCACCCTATTTTTTATGTGTTTCTTCGCCTTTTTACACCATCATATTGTGATTATTGTTTGTAAATTTAAAACTTTTATGAATAGGCCTCTCTGTGTATTTATAATCTTTGTTTTGTTATTTTGCAATCGTTGAATGTTGAAATCAAAAGCCGCAATATAAACATAATATTAATTGGCTAATAAATGATGTAAAAATAGCTATTGTATGTCACAGATTAAGATCTTTATACGAAAGTCCTAAGGAGTTTGGTCTTGAATAATAACTTGTGTCAGTTTGAAAGAAAAACCAATGTAAAATACAAATGTTGCCATCCTTGAATTATAATAAATGTAAATGATTCCAGAAGCTTCTATATCCATACATTTTGAGCTATAAATCCGACTTATTTAGTTAACTCATAGGTACTAATCTTATTTTGTGTAAAGAAAAACTTTATATTTTGTAATCTTACTTTATACTTTTCAATGGAAGAACGGTCTGATATAAATTCGGCTATAAATTATCAACTAAATAGATAGACTTTCTTACGAAGATTAATTGCTTACAAAAATATTATATACTTTAAAATTGTGCTTTAAAAAAAGTAAATACAAATAGAGTGGATGAAAATTGCATGTCATTCAGGCTGTCATATAAATTAAAAAAAACGAGAGCATAGATGTAATAAGAGACATAATTAATTAAATATTATCATGTCTATAAATAAATTATATCTCTATTAAATATAAAAAAGAACCACTGCCAATCTTATCAAAGATTCATAAAAAATCTGATGAGAATAATATTATGGGGCGGTGATTTAATTTTAATTTTTCGGAACCACTAGCCCCCTTTTTGAGTCTCATGTGATTAATGAATGTTCCCAAAGTAGTTGGCTTCCTATGCATAATTATTTCTCTAGGTCGATGCTTATAAAATGTTAACCTGGATATAGGTCATATAAAGAGATAAATTATCCTTTTTTTTATATGTGTCATAAAATTAATCTGCATGCAAAGTGTAATCAAAATTTTAGAAAATCTATTTAAATCGAAAAATATAAAATGACAAGGCAAGAAATAACATTTAGTTAGTCAGTATTTAATTTTACTAATATTCCTTTATTTGTACTAAAATAAAATACAGGAAACAAAATCATGACATTTTAAAATACAATACTAGCTGCTCAGAATTTTGAAAGCTATAAAATAATAATTAAAAATCATTAGAGTATGTTATTAAAAATAAATCAAGCTCAATATCGATCTACAAGATTGAATTCAAAGAAATAAATTATTTCCACCCAATGATAAGTGTTAAATCTCTTAAAACTTGGCCAGGGAAATAGATTCATATTACGGTGGTCTCAATATCTTCCTTTTTTTTCTAAATCTTTCCGCAATATGATGAGGTGTTTTATTTATGGCCAGGCTATAGAAGATGTAACTCTTTTGGTCGTCTTATGCACTTAATCAAATTTATAACATTTATCCTTAACATTTTGTTATTCATTGGTAATGTTTGAGGTCTCAACAAGAAGTCATGGACTCATTTACATTTTGTAACCATATTCTTTTAAAAAAAAATACATTTGTCTTTGGTCCGTACCGCGTATTAGTCTTTGTTAGTCGTCTTAGTTTAATTTATTAGTAACAGTGATTGAATCATTTCAATGTTTTATTTTGTTTTTATGGAAACATCGAAACTAGGCATGTTAATTTCTGTGATTACAAAATTATATTGCCTATGATTTTTTTATTACTGTACGAATTTATTGGTTTCAAGCTTATTAAAAATATGTGTACAGATAAAAAAAGTATTTTTAATCTGTCATATACTAAATCACTTTAGTGTCTTACCAGATGTCAATACATTTAATTAGTTTACATTAAAATAATTTAGTTATTTTATTTTGCATGTAACATTTTTTGGCGTATATAAAATCACATCACAGTGTTAGGGAAAAATGTACATAATTTCGCTAGAGTTCATTGTAAACATATAAAATTTGAAATGTACAGATATTTTATTAATTGTAACGTTAACATGCTTTGAAGTAGGATTGATACAATACATAAAGGAAACAATAAACATAAAAAATATATTCGAAGAGTACATGATATATATTTAATGATACATAAACAAAATTTTACATATATTCTTAATTTTATCATGCACTAGATAAAGTTTGAGTTGGTAATTGTATTTCAAAGATTTAAATCTCCAGAATAACTTACGAACATATGGCATTTTCGCATTGTTAAAATATTTAATGTAATGTTTGTGTCTCCTTCCTTCACATTGGTTGTTTAAAATCAGTTCTCTCTCTATCTATATCTAGCAAAGTAGAGAACTACTATATTTTTACTACTACTTCCATCGTCTAACATTGAGTTTCCACTAACGAAATGTTTGTATATAAACTTGTTCTTGATTTTTTTTAAATTCATTCAACATTTTAAGAAACAGAAACAACTATAATTTGTTATACCGATGCTTTGGTAGTAGAATTTCAATGATTTTAAACGTGTGATGTTTTAAAAATATTGTATTTATCTATAATGAATTTGATGCTGTAAAGTATTTAGGAGTTTGTATTTAAATCTTTGCTGTATCTTTACACTTAAGCGTTTAAACTTATTCTTGGCCTTTAATAACCTGCTATAATATGTTTTATATAAAATTTGATGGTGTATTCATCATTTCTTCATTAGGTCATCATAGAAATGAAGCCTTTAGATTATTAGAATATAAGTTATCCTCAAAGTGTACTGAGTTATAGTGTGACGCATTGACATACTAATATCATTAGACAAGCTTACCATTCGATAACGTTTTAGTGATGGTGTCCTAAATATTGTTTGAAAATCTGAATTTAAAATGTCGTCCGAAACGTATCATTTAGTATAGATTTAAGTTATAATAAGCGGTTTGGAAATTTACTGTAGGTAATACACGAAGAAGACGTTATGTAAAATATTCTATAATAAAGCATATGTTTGGATGCTGCATACATTCTGTTTTATTATATCTTAGTAACTATCTTAAGTCATCCTTCTTGATATCTTTACTCAGCATCAGACCACTGGTGAAGGTCAGAGAAATCCACACAAAAAGTGGAATAAATTGTAAGGACTGACAAAGGTGATGTTAGTTCTTCAAGTCTTGTCCAAATGTTCTCCAAATCGCTTTGTTGGGCAAGGACTGAAAATCATTTAACTGGCAATGCAATGAATATTCTTCTGAAGAACATTGTTAATCAAATTAATTATATGTTATGTTAATTATATATTGTAATTTAGTATCAACTCCCTGATGCTCTTAACTTATAATTTTGTCCAAAAGTGTTTTAAAATTAAGAAAAGTTAAGATGTTTACTAAAATCAATACCTTTATGGACGTTCATAGTGCCCGTGCAAAATAACGTATCCAAACGAAAAATAAAATGTCAAAAGAGACTGCCAGTTGTCAAATTGACATTGACATAATTTTTGGATATGTATGGGACGCAAGAAAAGTGGTGCGAGTGTGATTTTTAAAGTTTTAAAAGATATCAAATAAGAGACGGGTTAATAATTAGAAAAAAATATGTTTACGCGTTCAAGATTCATATTATCTAGAGCACTTCCTTTAAAGGTACATCATACTTAAAGACTTATATGACCACTCTTTTAAGATGTTTTTCATTTGTGTTTATTCAATTTCAGAATGTATTTAAGCTAGAACATCAAAATGAAGCAAATTTTCTCTATAGCATAGCTACCAGACATAGATCTACAACACCTATTAACACAGTAATAATGTTTGTTCCGCAACAAGAGGTTAGTTTTTGATAATTTTTATTTAATACACAATGTTTGTATAAAACCTATTGTGTAATTAAAATATTAAATGTTTATAATTAACAATTCTTTGATTGTCAAAATGATTGATCCATTTACTACTATTATGTTTAAATTTAAAAATCATGTTGCATCACTGCACTAAGTTAATTATTTAAGTTTTGATCTACCATTAAAATATTCATTAAAGATCATGTATCACATAGAATTTATATTATTTGTACAAATAGAACTTCTATTAAGTTATTCTTATAAGATCTACCCACCTAAAAGCATAAAATTATGTTCCTATACTGATATAGTATAAGTGAGATATTTAGGAAAAGTTACTTAACAAATATATATGTAAATAATTTGCATGAATGATTTTTTAAATTTGGATGTATTTTTAGGCATGGATTGTTGAGCGTATGGGAAAATTTCACAGATTGCTTGAACCGGGACTCAATTTACTTTGGCCTATTGTAGACAAAATCAAATATGTGCAGAGTCTCAAAGAAATAGCTATAGATGTACCAAAACAAAGTGCTATCACTGCTGATAATGTGACGTTGGGTATTGATGGTGTGCTATACTTACGGATTATTGATCCATACTTGGGTAAATACAATTATCTTACTAATATTATAAAAATGAATATTTGTTTGTATGGATAGAAGTTTGTTTGACTGTATCTGTGGAATGGCTCAACCGATCTTGATGAAATTTGGCGCAGATGTATAGAAAAATAATAGATGTATGGAACATAGTTTACTTTCTTACATCTGCATGGATCTGGGTGAAGTTGATAGCGACAGCTAATTTTAATATCTGGACATTGTCGAGTTATGGACAGTTAAAGAGTTCAATGTGATCCAATATTGTATGTAAAACTGTAATATTTGACATATTGAATCGCAAATAAACATCCTCCACTGTACATTATATAATTACTTTAATATAATTAATTCCAATATACAAATTTCAGCATCATATGGGGTGGAAGATCCAGAATTTGCGATAACACAATTAGCGCAAACTACAATGAGATCAGAACTTGGTAAAATATCTCTTGACAAAGTATTCAGGGAGAGGGAATCTCTGAATGTTTCTATTGTGGATGCCATTAACAAAGCAAGTGAAGCTTGGGGCATTACCTGCCTTAGATATGAAATACGTAAGAATTTTATAATACTAATAAATTGTTATGAAATATGACAAAATTAATAATTAAACAGCTTTAGAAAATGCAAATGTAACTACAAGTTCATCATAATAAAATCAAATTCAGAGTCTTTAAACTTCATTCTAATTAATTTTCAGGTGATATAAAATTACCAACTCGTGTACATGAAGCGATGCAAATGCAAGTGGAAGCAGAGCGAAAGAAGCGCGCCGCTATTTTAGAATCTGAGGGAGTGCGGGCGGCGGATATAAATGTGGCGGAAGGCAAACGTCAAGCAAGAATATTAGCTTCAGGTTAGTTTAAAAACACATATTATGTATGAATTAAAAACAAAAATTATTTGATATGGCAATCATTGTTCTTCAAATTATTAGTATGTTAATCACACTCTCTGGACTATGATAACAATGATATCCAATATTAATCCTCTTTTCCACTCTTTACAATATATCAATTTAGCTAAACACAGTATGGGACAGAATATAAAACTGCTTATTAAATTTAAGTTGTATTCATATAGTTGCATTACATATGTTACAGAGGCTGAGAAACAGGAACAGATAAACAAGGCATCTGGTGAAGCTCAGGCTATGATTGCGGTGGCAGACGCCAGGGCCCGCGGACTAAAGCTTCTAGCCGGTGCCCTAGCTCAGCAGGTATACTAAAGAATGCACCATTTTGTTATAGATTTATATTGAATGTTTGTAATAAAGCAGGTTTTATCAAAGTAAGTAAAAACATTAATATAATAAATTATAGATATAGTTAAGTGTGTTTAGTTAAGTATTTCATATGAAAATCATAATTTTTAACCAACAAGTAACATTGTTACAAGTCAAATAGTTGGTTTCCGAGAGCAAAATTCCTGTATAAAACATATTGACATCTCAATTTTGTCAGATATAAGTATATTTTATACAGGGGTGTTGGCCTCAAAAAGCAACAAAATTAAAACAATTTTAAATTTTGTAATTTTGAAGGAAAATTTATTAGTTATTAACTTATTTCTATTTGTAGGACAGCAAGTATGCAGCATCACTTACTTTAGCTGAGCAATATGTAGCCGCGTTTAATAAACTCGCTCGGACAAATAATACACTCATCCTGCCCGCTAATGCAGGAGATGTATCCAGTTTGGTGGGACAAGTGAGTGCTTATTGTGAATTTACACTGCTGTAACACTTCTAAAAACATGTTGTCTCTTTCATCACGTGTAAATTAATAGAGAACAGTATATTTTTATAGGTTTTAATGCAAAATTAGTTATATTTTTAAGATACTAACAATCTTGTTGAATATACAGAAAAAATGCATAATTACGTAAATTAGTTAGTGGTTTGTAGGTAGTATGGGTTTGTATGTATGTCAATCCAATTGTTTCAAGACCGAAAGCCTAAACATTCAATTCAGTTTCTTCCCATAAGCATCTTAGCAGTATATGTTATATTCAATTTAGCTAGATTTTCTTAGTTATTTATGTACTTAGTAAAGTTTACATTATTATGTAAAAAAAAATGTGAATTATTTCCTTACAGGCCATGTCAATTTATTCAACGATAAGTGCTCAAAATAAACAGCAAAATCAGCCTAGTATTGATATTTACGATAACCCTATTCATTCGTTAACTGAAAAAGGCACAACATTAGCCGGACAACCAGTTATAGATGACAGCTTAGCCGAATATTTCTCAGATGATGAAGAGAGAGAGAAAGCACTACAACTTCAGAAAGAGAAGAAAACACAACAAAATATAGAGAAAGAAACATAGATTATGTTAAGTATAGAGTTCTTTATTGATTAAAATATAATAAGAGGAATGTATTTTGTTTATTACCTTAATTCATACAAAGATTAATATTTAAATAACATGTCGGAATTAAAAAGTCTTTAAAAATATTTAATTTATTTTATCACATATAAACAGTCTGTATTGTCTTTTAGCAGCTCTTTTAGCATCAATTAGAATATTTAAAAAAAACATCTTATTTTACGAAAAAAAACATAATATTCAAAAATTGTAAGCAAGGCACTTTATTTAAATTGCAACATAAAAAATTGTTTTCTTTTTTCCCCAGATCTTGAATCCACACTACTTTATTTGCATACTAGAAGAATTAAATATAAATGGCAGCCATTAGTAAATTTTATGATATAAAAATTTAAATATTTCTATGAAATGCATAAACACATTAAAAACAACCTTATTTCCAATATTATATGGAATAATTTCCCATTTCATGATATTTTAACAAACTTATCCCTCTGGTTGAAATAGCTAACGGAAGCTTGTTCAGAATTGTTGCCAGTCTTTGGTTGCGGTACAAGACTTAAATAAGATGATGATAATTCCGTACCATCGAATTGACGTAAATGTATCTGAAATAGGTATAATTAAAGTTTTAATGTGAATTTTATAAATATTAAGAGCCAATGATGTAACAAATTGACAAACATGTTGATATAAAGTACTTTAGAAACCATTTGTGTAGGAATCAGATTCAAAAAAAGAATTAACTTACCAGTAAATGCAAATTAACTTCATCACTTCTGCTTAGATATGGAAAATTGCCTCCACTTTTTAAATGTGCTAGTTTAGCTTGCGGATATGATTTGTAGAGATCTTCTCTAACTCTTGAACTCAATGCACTTTCATCCCATACATCCATGATTGTTATTGGCATATTATTCAATAGATGAGGTTGTATGTAGCATGGACTACAATTGAGAGTTAGTCTTGAAGCCAATTCAGATTGGTTGAGTGACTCAAGCTGAAATGATAGTTACTAAATTAAAGGATGACTATTAATGATATAGTTAATATAATTGCCAAAATGTATGGATACTTTGTCAGTTACATACATTCTTGTTAATATTATAGCATGTTAATAGCATTCATTAGTAATACAGCTGAAACTTTGTCTATGAGGGCATGGAAATGGTCAAGGGTCTATCTAAAATGTCAATAATTCTAAAACATTTTTATTAAAATCTGTAATAGTTTAATTTAAACAAAAAATGAATTCTTACCCTTTCTACCATGAAATCAATAGATTCAGCTATCCTCTTATCAACTTTATCAGTTGTAAAATTTCCCATTAACATTCTTTTCAGCACTAAAGATGGAAGCAACCAGAAAAGTGCTGATGAATCATTGTATTCAAACACTGAAGTGTCTGTAAATGTATTACATAGAACCAATGAAGCTACCCTTGGACAGTTTCTTGTAAGCTCAGCAAATTTCTGAGCCATGAATCCTCCTGCAAAAAAATACAACTTACATATGGCACAAACCTTCATTTAAAATGGAGATGGAAGATGATTAATAGGAAGCCGATTTCACTTTTGTCAGTGTAAATATCTAAATGTTAATCAGTCTAAATGTTATTTAACCATTCCATGAATGTAAAAAATTATAGAATAGCTATAATTACCTAGTGAGGCGCCATATATGTGTATCCTATCTAATTCCAAATAATCAATGAGACGTTTAAAACCATCAATCCATTCTTTCATATTCCAGTATGGTGGAGGTTCGGCTGCTATCACGCGAACGCCTCTCGAGGCCAAACCCATCACTTGCAGAAAAAACACGTCGGCAGTCCCAGAAACTGGTGGCAAACATATTAAAGGGCACCGAACTGATTTTGGTCCGCTATCAAATATACGCCAGGCCTGTAAAAAGATAAATTAGCTATTTATATTTAAGTAAATATGTGTTATATTCAATGCCATTGTTAACATGCAATATTGTTTACCTTGGAACCGTCTGAATCTACGACTATTTTCCGTAACGGAATACTACTTCTAAAGCTTAGATATTCGTTGGATTGCGACAAATCACTCATATAACTCATTATATATTTTAATTAATTTATATTTTTATTATTTTATGAAAATAAAAACAGCCACAAACATGTCATTGATATGTATTATGTTGACGTTGACATTTTACGTTTTTATAAGTAGTTTTTTTTTTAATATTATGACCTGGTAACTTAGACCTTTAGGTCAAATCTTTTTTTGAATGTATAAGTCGGTTTCTGGCACTATCAAAGAGTAAATATAGGTATTTAATGTCCATAGATTAAATAACCTCGCCATGTAAACGTGGCATATGGCGTGGCAAAAAAATATATTTTCACGAAAAAAACTTTTATGTTTTGTCTTTACTTATCTCCTTTAATTTACGTGTTTTATAAATCACTAATATTGAGAACTGCTAATATGTGTCACTTTTTGAGTCACATTTGGTGTATAGGCTCGGTGTAACAAGCCAACGTATCCCAGATAGTTTAAATGACACGAAAGCAAGATAAATAAATCCATGAACATGTAAATAGTAACACATCTAGGATTCGGGAGTCAGGATATCGTTATACGAGTTTGTTAATTGCTATAACAACCATAACAAGCCATTAAATTGTTTGATCGATAAAGATTGAAAGTGACAACGTTGTTAAATATTTTATTTAGCTACTAATTATTACAAATAATTATTTTGTAAAATATGAGCAAACAAAGTAATCATTTTGATGAAATTAATGGAACTCTTGCAAAGTTAAGAAGACTGAAGATACAAGAAAATGTATTGAATACATCAATTAATAAATCACTATCTACGTTGGGATTGGACGATGAGAATTTTACAAGTTTTAAAGCTATGAATGAATTTAAAAAGTACGAATCGTCATTACAAAACACTTTAATCGAAATTAAAAATTTGTTAGAGGATGTTAAAATAGCCACAGACACTCGAGGAGACATCGAAAAGCTCGGTTAGTTTCAAATGCTACTCAAAGAATACAAATTAGCAGTTAACAATAATTTTATTCATAAGAATATTTTTTTTTTGCGACGCATTTCAGACATCGACGAAGTTAAAAGAGATGTTTTAGGATTGGAAGAGAAGTTGAGAACGTTTAAATCATTTTTACGAAGTGAACTAAATTCATTGAAAATTAGTGCGAATGAAATTCAACAAGAGGTAAGACTTTGCTAATAATTGAAAATAACCCTATCCATATCCAAATTTTACTCCACTTACTAAACAATATCACCTAAAATACGATTATAGTTATAATATACGTTTATTCTTACAAGTGTTCATAATCGAACCCAGGACCGAGAAAATATTTAGATCGCACAATTAAGTCGTCCACAAATGTAAAATCTTTTACATTAAATAAAGTCCAATGTATTAGTTTGAAAATAACTCTATGGCTTGATTTTAGTTATTGAACAATCAAAATGAAAAAAAGATTTTAAAAAAGACAGTATTGAAATCCTCTGCAAAGAAATTTAACGAAATCATACCGAGTCCTGTCAGAATTCTAAGAAATTCTCCGTTCAAGTGTCCGGTGAGTATAATATTGATTTTACTATAATACATGTAAGCCCGAAGACTTCGGATTTTGAATGTTGCTATAAATTTGTATTACCTAAAATTTCAGCTTATCTACAAATTATTCTAAATGCCGTACAAGGCTCTTCTTTCTCGATCAAGGTACTATTACAAAATTGTTTTAACTATCATTCTATAATATAATATTTCTAGGAAGTGCACAGATTTCAAGAATTCGTATCAAGTACCAAACGTTACAACGGTTGGAACGAATACCATCATAATATTTTTGTACAAATATGGAATAAATATTTTAACTCTCGGAATGGGGAAGATCTTTCACAATACGATGGCACTGAAATTGATCAGTTTCATCAATTCCAGGACGAAGTCTTGGCAAAGATTTCAGGTTTTTTTTTAAACATTATTAATTACAATCCTTTGGCGCGAATGACGTGCTTTCGTTACAAAGTCCAGTGTCAGAATGAATGTGTTGAGTCTATACACTGGCTCATTTCCGAATTTTCTTCCTAACAATTTTAATAGATAATTCACCATTTTATACCTCCTATTATATCAATAGTAATCTCACATAAATACTTTAATAAAGTTATTGACGCACAGATTTGTTTCTCGCTCTTTGTCAATTTCGTAAGAAATCAAAATAAAATTTTTATTTCTTAACAATCGTTTGTTCCACAGGAATAACTTCTGTTGATATAAAATCGCATTATAAATGGTATTCTCAATACGTTCATTTAAAAAATAAACAACAAGAAGCTCTAGAAAAATGGAAAGAGAACAAACAGAAAATAAGGAAACCAGGACAAGAGGTAATAGGTTTAATTAGGATAAGTATGTAATTCTATTGTAAAAGTACAACGAAAGATAATAAAAAGAAAGATAATTTGCTAAACTTGTAACGAAAAATGTGTCCATCGGCTACCGCAACATATCTTGTCATGTTCATTGATATTATTAGTAACGAAATATTTGTACAAAAACCCTGTTTATTAGAGACAATAAGAAAGGTATAACTACATATTTCTTTTAAACAGTGTCTACGCACACTATTGTAAATAAATATACCCACACATGTATAAAACAATCTTAATACATTCCACAGGCAAAACAAGTTTCACGGTCAAACAGGTCATCGGAGTCATCTAATATTGATAAAATATTCTCGATTAAACAAACATTTAAAGGTAATGAATTCATATCTTAGTATCATATTATATTATTTTTTGTAAACATACATATATTATCTACTTTTTTATAGTAAGAATTAAGTAGTTTAGTAGTTAATAGTTATTAGTCATGGTAAAGCTTATCCTTTTTGACCGTTATTTTTGAATATTATAAAATAACGACGCAATAGATTAAGTATATCTACCGACGCAAAATTGACATAACAATTTCTTAAGTGACTTATACAATCTGCTATTAAAATTCTTTCGTGCAAATATCGACTGTAACATGGCACCTAAGGTGATAAAACCAGTACACACAATTTGTTTATATTACGTACTCGTTTTATGGTTTTAAATTATTACACTAACGAGACTGTGTAAAACATTTTATTGAGTCGAACAGAAATACGATATTTTACAGTATTTTATACCTTATTCAAAGTCCTGTAGTCTCTCTTTAAAATCTATGTATATAATAATATTTTGGGTCTATATTATTAAAACACGGTGAAGGAAAACATCGTGATGCAACCTGCACATATCTGCGAAGAAATTCAAAGATCAACCCGCACTAGGCCAGCGTAGTTAATTAAAACCTTGTCATCCCTAACTTAGGGTAGCCTCCCACCCCTTTGGTGGGAAGTATATGTAAGGATGAACGACGATACATACTGTAATTGAGGTCATTTATAATTGTCAAAACACTGCATTTAATATGTCATTGATCATTGTTGTTCACATTCATTGGTAGTTGTTTTAGCTTCAAGGCCAACAAGTTTTGTCTCAAGCATGTATGTAAGTGGTCACCGCTTAATAAACGCCTCGTCCAAAATTTTCACACATAGATTTTTAGGTTTTTTGTTTCTTGTTATGTTACTCGTTCATTTTTATTATCTTAAGTAAAGTATAATAGAATAAGTATAATTTTATTTTGTTTTGTTTCAGACGACTCCAAAAATATAGATGATTCAAATAAAGAGTCCTATGGGTACTATAACTATATATTGTAAATTACGTTGCATGCATAATATGCTAATATGCGTAATTTTATTTTTAACTCTTTCTTTATTTTAGTAAAAGCAAAACATCTTTGGAATCACCAACAAACTATAAAAAAGGAAATAATTACAAAGGATTTTCACGAATATTAAAATCAACCGAACAATGGAGAAATAAATGCCAGGGAGAAAGGGACAAATCTCAGTTATTTTATGCTCCAACAATAGTTAAAAGACAATTGTAAGCTACGCAAATGTTAAATTTATATCAAACGAAAATGAGTTTCTTGCTACTCTTACATATTTTTTCAACTGCTTTTGTTAAAACTTTGATTAAAAGCTTGGGTGTCCTATTTTATTTTCAGAGGAATTCCTACTTGGCGTTTGGGACTACAAGATATATAAGAACTTTTGACGAGTTTAATTTCCCTTTGGGTTTGTCATCGCAATTATCAAGTTGCGACGTTCAATCACGATTCAACGGTATGGAGATTTTTATTCTGCCTTATAACCGCCGCGTTGTGGAAACCAGTTCCCATCGAATTACCTTTTCTCAAATAACCTGATGCTTATCGTACCGTTAATATGAAATAAAAGTTAGGAATTATTATATCAGTTATTTCTTATTTTTCAAAACTTGTATTATTGCAATTTTAAAGGTAGATTTGGGTCTTGCAACACAAGGGCTTCATTTGACAGAAAATGTCAAAAGACTAGTCAGCTGTGTTTACAAAAATTTGTCTTTTAAATAAATCTTGGCCTTACATAACCAATAAAACTTAGCACACTAACTTATTTATATGAACAATCCAAAATGACATCGCGATGCAGATATTTTTGTAGAAGATTATTGCAAATGAATAGGTACTATTACCCGATAGTTCAACTACCTAAACTTGCATTCGGTAGAATTGCCGTACCATGTACCTTGGGTTTTTCAATGTTTACATGGTTAGGTTTTAACAAGAAACTGAGCGCGGAAGACGAATTAATTAAAACTATAAAACATTGTGTTCTTTTTACTCAAAGAGGTGAATACGAAAAAGCAGAACAACTGTTACATGTCGCTCTGAGGCAAGCACAACAGATGCGAAATGAGTCTGGTATTACATATATTTATGATATAATGGCCAATTTAGCTTTGGAAAGGGAACAACTAGATAAAGCTAAGCAATTATTTGTTGCTGTCACCCAAAGAATAATGGCTGAAGGTGCAAAAGAAGATGATCCTCGTGTTATACACATTAGTGCAAAATTAGCAAGAATAAGTCATTTAAAAAAAGAATATTCTACAGCTAAGTTAGGTTATGATTGGTGTTTAAGTAAATTAAAAAATTTACCTCCTGAAGCTTTAAATGAAATTGAAAAACTTATAGCAATGACAGAAGATTGGTATGGACGTTTATTAGTTGACTATGAGAAAAGTAATAAAGGTCTTGATCTGATGGTCAGTTCTTTAAACAGAATGGAGAAATTAGATGTAGAAAAAGAGCATATTGTTATACAGATGAATGATATTGCAACTGTTTGTGATCAACTTGAAAAATATGATGAAGGAATTAGTTATTTATTACAAGCTATTGAAGTTGGTAAACAATTACCTGATATGGATGAATTAGGAGCAGTTTATGTTAATTTAGGAAGGCTTTATATGAAGAAAATGTTATTAGATAAGGCTAGAAAATCCTGTGGGGCAGGTTGGAAACTTGGTGTCACTGCCAAAAATGATGATATTAAACGTGAAGCAGAATTATGTTTTAAAGAAATAAAAAATTTGTCCTAAGTTTATTTTAAGAAACAAATCAATGAAATATATATTTTCAAATATAATATTTTAAAATTTATTTATATCTATAAAATCTTTACACTTGTTACACAAGGACTTGTGACTATTATAAAAATAGATTTGGAATTTTTTTCCATCTATATGGTAGGTATTCAAATCCTAGTGTTTGTGTTTTAAATATTAATAACATGTGAAAGATGACAGTACTAAAATATACCATAAATAAATCTTATTATTTCTATTTTCTTAGATTATGCCTTCTTAATAAAAGGGAGTGATGAACCAAAAATTATTTTGTCTCTTGTTGCTTACTTCTTACAAAGGCCGTGATTGACATTTTAACAACAAAGTAATTGTTACTATTTTTATTGTGTAAAATAAAACAAGAGGTAATTTTTATTATTTTATTTACCTAAAATCTCAATGAACTCAGAGTAGATTTTAAGTGAAATTATTAAAAAGAAATGAGTATGTAAAACTAATTCAAATGCATGGTAAAGTGGTATAATTATAAATGTAATTTTTGTTAACTAATAATTTATGATATTTTATTGAGCACTCTCTTTTGTTACACTGAATGGTTCTGCAACAACTTCAGTGTGGGTATCGGCAATAACAACTTCTTTGACTGGACGGTCGTTGGCGCCAGTCTTACCTTTCTCAATCTTACGCACAATATCCTGCAAAGGAAAGGTATTTATTATTTTTAATACTAACTTTTAACAGAATTGCTCAAATTATTTGTTTAATAACACCTATATAAATATTTAATAACAAAAATTTTCATGTAAAAGTTGTCACCTGTGGGTAGATGTAAAATTCTATAAGGGATAGGGTCATAAAATAATTTTATATTTTAACACAACTTACCATGCCTTCCAAGACTTTGCCGAACACTACATGTCTGCCATCAAGCCATGGTGTTTTTGTAGTGGTGATAAAGAATTGAGATCCATTTGTATCCTTTCCAGCATTAGCCATGGAGAGCCAGCCAGCACCATAGTGGCGAAGCTTGAAGTTCTCATCTTCAAACCTTTCACCATAGATACTGCGTCCTGATAAAAAAATATTTTAATGTACCTACATTTTATACATCTTAATATATATATTTTTAGCAAATACATCAGGACCAACAAAATTCATATTTAATTAAAACATACCACCAGTTCCATCTCCCTTAGTGAAGTCACCACCCTGGATCATAAAGTTTTCAATAACTCTGTGGAACTTGCTACCCTTGTAACCTTCACCTTCTTTCTTTTGTGCTAGTTGGAAGAAATTCTCAGTTGTCTTAGGTACTGTCTTTCCAAAGAGACCAATTACAACGGAACCGGCTGGTTCTCCACCAATGGTTATGTCAAAAGTGACCTAAAACATATAAATAAAAAAAAAGTTATATTAGAAAAATAACAATATAAGTCACTGGGAATGAATACAATAATAGGACCTACAATATAATCCAATAAACCGTCACAAAGGATCTGAGACTTGACCTTTTATTGTCGAGTAAGCGAATATAACAAAGACTTCTCTAACGGAAACGCAAAACGTCACTATAAAGGTTCAGCGACCTTCCTATATAGTTCGAATAAAAAATATTATTTTTCATGTCGAGGTAAATAAAGCAATACGATACAAATCAAACTAAACTGTACCTTGTGAGTAACTTTTGGGCCCTTCGGAGCTTCTTCAGTCAAAGCTGTGGAGAACAGAAATAGGAGACCAAGAATCGCTGCAATGGTTCCCATCATGAACAATACTTTTGCCTTTCTTCTAGCTATTTTTACTTAAAGTACAAATTATCTATTAATTAAAAAATAACAACTAATTCCTAAAAAGAATTCAATATCACAAGTTATCACCGGCAAAGTTTCTTTACAAATGTGATCGTGCCAACTCGGGTGAACGTCCACGTCATGTCAATGATCTGTCGTAAATTTAATTTTAGATAAAATTTTAACAAAATTTTCAAAACTTCAAAATACAATTGAAATCAGTGTAAGTTAATAATAACAATTAAATTAGTTACTCCGTCCAAAAGTTTTTTTCAAAATCATTTTCAACTTAAAAATAATCGAAATTTATTCGATTCCAAAAAGTAAAGTGAAAGATCGATCGAGTAATTTGACTGGAAACGAGCGAGATTCCTCAATCACATCACTATTATGCAGCGTATTGAAACTGAACTGAACGAATTCTTGAAGATCAAGAATTGCTCGTAGTTGTGTACATTAGTATTTGTATGGTGTCTTCATTACAAATTAGATTAAAAGTGAAGATATTACAACAGTGAAAAACCGTATACCTTCTTACAATGTTAGAAAAGAGCTGACGTAATGAAACACAAATTTGATTACTAAAAGTCATGTTTTGCTTTTCTACCATTGCTTTCGAATAATTTCGTAACACTATAATAAATGGGCTTTTAAACACAAGAATGTACGGAATAAACGGATCCGATTTTCCCCCTGTTACTGAGGATACCTTTTGTAAATATGTGTTATATTACGAGATAAACAATTCGAGGTAATTCTTGATACGATGTTCTTATACGAATTAATTTTTATTGTTATGCTTACACTGTTATATCTTATTGCAGGGTCCGAATCTGGGATTTAATAATTTTGATACCGAATGCTTTATTTGTGCTGTTCTTAGTGGTAAGATTTAACAAGGCCCAGTTAAAATTACGTGCTACCAGTAGTCCAATATTTTTGACGTTTTACTCGTTGGTGTGGGGCAATGTGATTATCAGCTTAATACGATGTGGTGTTTCCATGACCGTTAATGCTTCTATGCCATTCGGTGGTCTGATAGATAAGATCTTATGGGTTACTGTGAGATTTTTTCTTCTAGCAACAGAAATGAGTGTAGTAATATTTGGATTGGCTTTTGGTGAGTGTTCTCCATGTTGACTACTTTTGTTCCCATCAATGTTTTCTTTTTATTATTAACATTTTAAATTTATTTTTCCAGGGCATATGGACAGCCGAAGCAGTATAAGATATGTTCTTTTGGCTACATCACTTATATCACTTGCCTTTACAATCACTCAAGGAACACTAGAAATTGTAATGCCCGATGACATATTCCACATTGATACCAGAGACTATGATCTGTTTGGACATGGTGGAATGCTGTTCTGGTTTACATCATCATTGGTGTTTGCAATCATTTACTTCATAATTCTCTTGCTACCATGGATTCCTCTCCGGGAATATTTAGCTTTACCAAGTAAGAAATTCATAATTATTGTAAAAAGATTAAGTTAAATTATAATTAATAGCAACTCAAGATGTTCATTAGGTGTCAAATACATATATCTTATTAGCCTTTCTAAAGAATCTTAAATCAGATTCCTGTTATGTAGCACATTTGAAAGAATTAAACAAAACACAATAGCATAACTGAGTAATTTCAGATACCAAATCCAAACATAACAACTTTGTTGTAGTGACAATGAGAAATCAAGGCCATTTTTTGCTCCTATTCTGTGCCCTACAATTTTTCTTTGTGCTTTATTGGTAAAAAAGTGTTGAAGGTAAACTGACTCATAGTCTACTTATTGAAAATGTTTAAAATGTGAAAACCTAAATAATGAGTAATAGAAAGGTTTAAAGTTGAAAGTTGCAATTTATTAGCTAGCCATTTGACTACCCTTCACAGCAGACAACCTTGGTGTAGTATTTTAAAAAATTATTCCTAGGTTATGTGTTCCTTTAAATTATGTTCTATATCTGTACCAAATTTCAGTGAGATCCATTAACCAGTTTTGGAGATACCTAATAGCATCCAAATGTTCACATTTATAATATTAGTAAGAGTAACAATGCAGTATACATTTTCTGGTGCAATATTAACTCTATGTAGATAAGCATTAAATAAAAACTTAAATAATAAATAATTTAAAAATGCTTATTTTGTTATGATTGTGAGCTAGATTATTTTTTTTTCTTTCTATTTTTCGAAGGGAAGAGGCTTATTATATAATAATAATTGTTACAGCGAAACTCTCATTTTATTTATATATACTTCTACTGGCATTATTGGACACCACTCAAGCAGTTGGTGCGGGACTCCTGGCATGGGGCTCCATGCAGTGCGGACTGTGTGTTGTTGATGTCACCACTTGGCTCTATTTCTCACTTTACACTCCGTTAGTTTATCACACATTCCTCAGCGAATTTTTCAGGTAATTATATAAATAATATTGTTAATTATTAGTCTACTTAGTTAAATTTTTAACCTATTAGCTGCCGTTAAAGAATAGTAATGATTTGTCATCAAAAATAATTATTTATTAATTATATGATTCTTATTTTCTGTCTTTGTGAACTTATAAATTCACACAAAAACCAAACCAAGCCACAACCTACTGCCACACCTATTACCCAACACTTTCTATGCTACTACAATATTTTCATTCGAAAGTGAACTTAACAGTGACGCTGACCATGGGTTTCTGAGACCAAAATCACCATTTAAAACATACTCTTATCTCTGCTTTGTCAAAGATAATGACAAGTATGACAATATGTTTTATACAGCGATTTTGTTATCAGAAACTCACACCGAATGTGTTAAGGCTTGAAAAAAGAAACACCACACTGCCGCACAGATACAAAAGAAAAAAATAGACACAGCGCAGATTTATAAGAAAAAATTAAAAGAAAAGTGTGGCAAAAGGAGCCAAACCAGCATATGCAGGAATGGCTTAAACAGTCCGCTGGTTTTCAGTTGGCTCTTTTGCAGTAGTTGAGTTAATGTTTTGAAAAGTCTTTCCAAGGGAAATATGTATGGGTTGTCAATTTCTTGATGTGTTTTTACAATCATTGATTTAATGTTTTCAGTGTGTCACAGCCTAGCATTATGTTCTCCTACAAGGCTCAAATGGACGAGCCCATGGAAGATGATCAGGTCTCGTTACCACATCAGCAGAGCTTCAGTTCGCTCAAGACAGATTCTGATTATATCTATCAGGTAATAGAGGTCTAGAAATTAAGGTAATTTCAAATTTTCTGATAGTTTTTAATAACCAAGGGAAAGCTTAAAGTTTTTAGGCTAACTTTGTCCTATTCTGTTTAAAATAATATTTCACAAATGTTAGTATTAGTGTTAGGTAAATAGCAATTAATTTAGTTTATATCACATAAATGCTTTTAATCTCATTAAGGGATTTATAAACATCCAGTGTTATTTTTTCCATCCAAGTCTAATGTCCCCCACCTACAAGTACAGTGAGAAGGCTTTTACTAAGCTATCGGGTACCATCTTTTGACCACATCATCACTTAACATGTGATGGGGTTGTGGTCAAACTCTGGTTTATTCAATAAAAAAAGATTTTATTTCCCTCATTCCATTATTGAGTATACTTTTAATATAAATTTTTTTCAGCAGAGTAACAGTGTATACGATAGTACTCTATTTGAAGCAGGAGGAACAACACCGATGAATCCAGTTTACAGTGCATCACTGCAAAGCCCCGATTCCATAGTTTCTGGACAATCGATAGAAATTGGTGCCCCAACTGCGTTCCATACCCAACATATACCATCAACATAACAATAAAACAAAGGTATTCGAAAACTTCATACATCCAAAGAAAAACATAACTAATTTTAGAATTTAACATCGACAAATCAAGCAATATTCAAGGAAACATTTAAATACATAGATATGGGTAAATTGTAACAATTATTGTTAATTTTAAGCTAATCATATAAGATTTATGTTATGGTTTGTACCAAAAATTATCTTTGAATTGAACCATGAAAAGATAGACCATTTTTTTATATGAACAAATTTTCCTTACAGAATTTCTACATTCTTGACTAACTGAAATTAAGGTTTGTAGATGGAATAAATTGAGATGGATTAGGGTAGAAAATGTATTAACTAGATTTATGTTTTGATTTATGAGTTTATGAAAAATGTTCTTAAAAAATAAATTTCCCTTGTAAAAATTATAGGAATGATAGACGTTCGTTATTATTTGGCAATCTGTCTGCAGACTTTCACCGTAAATAATATATGAATGACGAAAGTTAATTTCTTATCTATGTATTTAAATGTATGATGAAAGCATTATTTGCTTGTCTTATATAGTCTATAGTTAAGGTAATCTTCGAACGAATTACATCCAATGCGTATATTGAAATAATTTTTTTGCACCTCAATTTCAAATAGTTTTTATGTGATAGCACCAGTGATCAACTAACTTGAGACTGTACATCATTTCTGCTTTAATATAGTGCAATGGATCCATCCATTAAGATTCATATTAGGGTAAAGCTGTAACAGCTATCTATATTTGTAAATAGAAAGATAGCTGTACTGTTTATTACTTTTTTTTTAACTGAACCCATTTAAGTATTATGGATTTGGGTTGGGTCCTATGTGGTATCATTATCATTATAACATTCACCAATAATTAATTTGATCAAAGTTAGGATATGTAGATCTGGATTACTGACTATTCGGAACGTATATAGAACGAATTACACGGATCTGTCATGTGTGTATTTTTTTGTGCCTAACCGCGATAACAGCACTACCTCCATTCGGCCAGATAAGATTTATAGTCTATCAACAATATTGTTTAAAGAAAAATTAGAATGATGCTGGAAAAAGGTAACTTCAATTACCATACAGATTACAATTATGTCTACATTTCTTTAGTTTGGTCACTGTATATTCGTGTATTGTAAACAATTTAATATTTCTTGTAATAGCTAAATAATTAATCCACGTGTTTTGGTTAATTTATGTTTTTAATAATAAACTAAACACTATTTCTCCCGAAAATATTTTATTGAGGTTATGTCGATTAAAATAGTTTGTAAACCATTGTATATGTATACAGTATTTATTGAAATCAATAATAATTATGAAATCTATAAAGTTACACACGTGTGTTACTGACGAAAGTTTTTTGCATTATGTAATTACGGTCATCCATGTTGCGACCAAACGTCAATTGTCATCTGTCAATGTCGTTTATTTTTTTCCGTTATTTAATTATATTCAAAATAAATAATTAATTATGTTGGTAACGTACATTTTTAACGAATCAATGAAATATAATTTTACTGGTTAATAAAATTGTGTGGATTTTCTGAAAAAAAAAAGAAACGTATTAGAAAAGCTGATTCTATTTTATGATATTATTGACTTCAATTCGTTTATTTGTATTGAAATATTTATATTCTGTGATGATTTGCCTATAATTATGTTGTTGTTTTATAAATATTTTATATTTTAAGAAATATCAGATCTGATGTATTTGTATTTTTAATTAGTTACTGCGTATTCTTTAGATTTTTTTGTACACCATTCAATTGTAAAGATACACCTTGTAAGATTAGCGGATTGATATAGTTGAGGCTGTAGATTGAAAGATTAGTAAGATCTAGAGCATTAAGCTAATTTAGAAGGAAAAAGTATTCTGCGGGTTTGTGAAACAATACTTTTAAAATCAGAACTAATTTCCACCAACCTCCGTGTTGTGTCTACTTTTATTTTGGTTGTCTTTTTATAGATAATGTAAAAATTTAATGATTTTATAATTATTTTATTATCAAAATTTTTCTAATAAGCCGGGCTTATTATGTCTAGTCTTATATTTTTAATTAATTTAAACTGCACGATATTATAAATTAAAATATTTTTAATTACAACAATTATTTTACTGGCTCAATCTGTGTTGTAAAAGGGATATGAAGGGTGTTCCTTAGCGCAGATTTAGCGTGAGAAATTTATACTAAGCCACTATAATTTTTCTGTCAAATTATATTTTGCACGAAACAACTGGTCCACCAAGGAATTCTTGAACTATTTAAAAAATCAATCATGAGTTTCTTTAAAAATAAATTAAATTTTCTTATAACATTACAATACATAATTTTTTATATCCTATGATACATTCAAATAAAAAAACAATAAAAAATTAAACAAGATTTTGTGTGAAGCAAGGTCTATTTATCCTCAACAGTCCTAGCTGAAGACTACATCAATTTTCCTTATTTTATTGTGATACCCTAACACATGATGTAACTTATTCATGTGTTGTTTGTTTTTAAGTGATACTTGGTTGGTGGCGTATATTTTTGTTATATTTTGTCTTAGGAAACTATAAAGTAAATACTTTTACTGAAATTGCTTGTTTTTTTAAACCCTCTATATGTCAACAAAAGCTATACACATCTTAGTTTTAAATTAACTAGTCTTATATGAAAGAAAACAAAATTTCTATAAAATTATTATATTTCTGTTTTAAATTTGTACTTGAATGAAAGAATGTTTTAGTCCATCTGTTATGGATAATCTTTGTTTCTCATCCAACATAAGCATTTTATCTAGTAAATCTTTGAGTTGTACCACTTTTTTCTCTTCACTGGACGTTAGTTTTTTAAAATATTGCTTCAAATCACGCTGTAGATCTCTACAAATTACAATATGGCTCATTTCAACAATCTTTTCTCTCTCCGTTATCTTGTCTTTTTTACGGAGTAAAAAATTGTTTTTATAATTAAAATGTTGTTCTTTAAATTTACTTCTTCTTAACAATTTACTGGGAATTTTACCTTTTAAATCCATGAAACATTTCAACATTTTGTTATTGCATCCCCCAGTAAAAAGGATATTGTTTGTTGCCATTTCATATATAGTACAAGCTGTTGACCAAATATCTATACCATAGCTGTACGGAATGCCCAAAATAATTTCTGGTGCTCTATAAAATCTCGAAACTAGATAAGGCGTTGGTTCATTTTCATGGACTTTGGCAGCTGATCCAAAATCGCATAATTTTAAAATATTTTTATTTTCATTTACTAATATGTTATCAGGCTTTATATCTGCATGTATAATACCAATTTTGGACAATAATTTTAATGCCAAAAATAATTGTCTAGTGTAAATCATCAATGCTTTTAGACTAATACCGTTGTGTTTACCATATTTTTTCAATAAAGATCTCATATCCATATAAAATGGTTCTAAAACTAGACAAAGATGTCCTTTGTGAATAAAGTTTCTTAGTAATTTAACACAATGATATTTATCATCAGGATCATTTTCATTGATTTCTTTTAATATAGTCATTTCTTTTAAACCTGTTTTATGCATAAGCTCATTGTTTCTTATAATTTTTATTGCTACTTCGTTACCTTTGAATGTATGGTCGTGTGCACGAACAACATTAGCAAAGACACCTTGTCCTAGAATGGATTTAACTGTATATCTGTTATTAATACAGTCACCGACCCTTGCTTTATAATACCCTTCTTCATCATCCCAATTATCATTTAACTCGGCATTCTTATCATTATCTTGAATAATGATTTCAGGGTTTTTATTTTTAGGAAATTCATCTTTTTCTGAAAACATATCAGTGGTTTCTTTCACTGCATTTATTATTGAGTTTGCATTGTCATTATTTTCTATTTCATCAACTTGGCTATTATTTTGCATTTTGGCGTCTTCTTCTATATTGATTATATTTTGAGAGTTATTTAATTGATCTAATAGTTGTTTGCGTTGTTTACGTCTTTGTTCAATTATATATTCCTCATCTTCAGATTCAGAAATATGTATGCCTTCATGATTATAATCTGGTGATGATTCTTTAACTGTTTTAATATCAACATAATATTTTTCTTTATCTCTATTTATATGTTTTCGTTTTCTTTCATTTGCATTATTTAATATTTTAGTTTCATTTCTTGAATATGTTTTATATTTTTCTAAGTTTTCACAAAGTAATTTTCTCTTTTTCAACAATTCTTCCATACTGAATTCTTCCATTATTGGTAAAGGTGGTGTGCTTGAATCATTATCATTCACCTTTGATTTTTTTCCATGTTCCCTAACACTTTCTGTTTTCCTGTCACTTCTAGAATCTTTATGATTGCTTTTTCTGTAACTTGTCCTATAACGTTCTGCCATGGTCTAAAGTGATGTATATAAAAAAAACTTTTTAATCCAAAGTTTTAGTTGAAATCTCCTATCTGTAACCAAAGGAATAAAAATTAGATTTATTGTCCCAAAAAAAAAGTAATTGTAAATTTGTGGTAAGCTTTTGCTTGTGTTAAATCCATATAAGTCAATTATAATGCACTAAGTTTAAGTTTTAAATTGATAAAAAAGAAACTGTTATGTATTTAACACAATTTGCGGTTAAATTCAATGTTAACTAGATCATTGATTACATGTCCACCCTGTGAATTATCATCTGTATTTCCAAACATTACTCAGATGTTAATCTTTTCATGTTGATGCAGAACATGACATCATGTTTTCATAAGTGATTCAAATTCTTGGGTCGCTTTCGTTCACTTTACTTTCCCATCCATGGTTATCTATACAAAAAATTATTATGTTATTTTAAATATTACATGTTCTAAAAATGTTTATACTACTAAAAAAAAATTTTTTTTATTGTAAAATGTCACCACAATTTAAATAAGAAGCATTCATATAATACTTACTCCTTTACATTCAAACAGTACACATGTCATGACAAATTTAAAGTACAAATTCAGTATAATATATGTATAAGTTTTATAAAAAGAATCATTCATGCACAAGTCAACAATTATTCATTATAAAATAAGAAATGCAAAAAATTATAATGTTAAATAATATCCAAATTTAAATTGTCATCGCATTCATGTATCAAGGAGCAAAATAAGTTAAAACAGCTTATAACAATATAAAATTCATTATCTTTGTACTTTAAAAGTTATCAATGTTCATGACATGAGCACTGTTTTAAATTCATTTTGCGTTGTAAAGTACATAAGCAGAAACATAGCTGTAAGTAAACAATATTTTTAAGTTTATTTCAAATATTGATATATTTCTTTTTTCTCAACACATCAATGTATCTTCAATAGAGTACTATTTCCTACAGTTATAGTCTATGTTTGTCTTATGTACCTTACATTTAGACGGTATAAAAATTAGAATTCACTTTAGTTTTTCTGAAAAGTCTAAGAATCTATCAATTAAGTTTTCTAATAAAAACTGTGTTCGATAATAGGTCTAATTTAACGAATAATATTAAAATTTATCCCAGACAAGACACTCCCTTTTGTCTGCGATAAATTTATGTGAATATTTGGGGTAAAACCTGTAAATCTTGTTCAAGTATTTGTAATTTCGAAATTTAATGTACACATAACACTGATATTATTATTTATAAAACATTTTTTAAATGAACAATCTTGTAAAACGTATTATAATTTTTGCAACAATAAAATGCAATAAAATGTCATACTCGAATTGTCAACTTCCTTTCAATTGTCATTGTCATCCAGACAAAAAATTGAGAAGTCCTCTCTGATAAAAACAAGTAGAGGTTACACTTATTGGCATATATTTTCAGAACATTACTGTTGGCACTATCTTATTATTTTAAATATCAAATCATTTCAATCAACAGGGAAAGAGAGTAGTAATCTTAATTCTTTATTTTCTTCTAATTTACACGTCTAAAAAACAACTATATTACCTGGCATAATGGCAACGAGGGTGATGATTCTTAACTGTCAAATGTAGAAGAAAAATAAAACATAACCCAACATAACCTAAAACCTCTTTAGATTAGTGACAAAATTTAGAATAATTTTCTATTTTAAAATGACTATGTTTGTAAATTCAATGAAAGCGTTTTGTAATTCTCGCTCCTTATTATATAGCAGATCAATACATGTTACAAAAGGTAAGAGAACAAAGTAATCTTTTTCAAAATCAATCTGCAAAAATCAAACATTACTTACACAACATTATTTAAAAACAATGTATTTGTTACAGCTCTAAATCTCTATTCGCCGGCTGCACTTGGTATTGATGGATATCTTCAATCACGTAAAAGGGTGAAGGACCAATTTTTTAATTTTACCGATACCTTTAGGGCCAAAATGCGGGATTTTGTGTCAGAACCTAAACACATGATATTTACAGAAGATTTAAAAAACATGGTTCATATGGCTGAGCCAACAGATTTAGATCTTATTTTAAATATGATTAAGAAGTAAGTACACACTTCTATTCACAAAGAGATTTAGAAATTGGTTTTGGCAATTTGCTTGCAACTATTCTTATTATTTACAGGTTCAACAATCAAAATGTAGAATTTAGGTTTGGTTCATTTATATTTGGTCCAGTAGTAATGAGAATGTTTCATTTCTTGGATGCACCTAATGAAGCATTAAAGGTTAGCTGAACATTTTAATTTAATGCTTATTGTGTATTGGTATTGTTAATCTAATACATTTCAATATAATTGATCTATGAGACTTCGTAACATATCAAAGAATATGACTAAATGATAAAGAATACATCTATGAATTTATCTCTCTCATTATCTCATACAATTTTAATGTAAAATAATAAATTTGCTAGATGTATCAGTGATACTGAAAGTGTAAAATTGTTAATTTCAGTCCTTTGAAGATCCAGAAAATAGTGGTTTCTATGACCAGCTTGTCTCCTACCAGATATTACTTGACCTACTATACAGCCATGAAATGTTTGATGATATGTACAGAGTGTTTGAAAAAGTACAAGAAAAACAGTTGAATATGACAAAATTCCCTAAATATCCCTTGATACTTGTTTTAGCTGCCTGTTATAAACAAGTAAGTAACAATATTATATTGAAGTAATTATGTTAGAACCTGGGGTTTTTTCATAGCAACATATGCCCCAGTGGTAGTAGAGTAGTGAAAACTATAGCCCCTCACTGCTTTTTCTAGGTTTTGATTTTTTTGCAATCAGTAAATCAGTGAAATTGAATTAATTAAATATTTCAACTATAGTAGCATTACACCTAAAATTAAAGTAGTTTCATATTAATTATGGGGTTTAGGCATGTATTGTGTTAAGCATGATTTTTTTATAAATTTGTATTTTATAGAATACACCAAAAAGTTTGGAGTATGCAACAAAAATATGGACAGAAATGACAAGTGTCGGGACTGTGCCGGTCAGAAGAGCTGCCACATTATTTGCAGGTTTGTACGTTTTACTTTTCTCCACTGCTACAATAACACACATAGTTTTTGTAGCAACTAAGATGAGAATGTTGTATAATTTAATTATCCATTAGTTATTAAATATAATTTAAGTAAGCTATAAATTGTCCTCAAATAAAATTATATGATGTCACATAACAGACTTATGGGAAGGGATGAAAACATCTATTTTGTCAATGGAGTTCTTAATGTCTACTTTGTTTTTTTTTTTACAGCGCTGGCATTAAATCAGGGAGCCCCACATATCGCCTTGGAGAGTATATCAATGCAAAAACCACATTATGTCACTATTAGAAATATTAAGGTAATTAATCTGTGGTACTTTTTTATTGCGTTTTATTATATGACTAGCTGTCGCTCGCGACTCTGTGCCGTCGGAATTAAAGAAAAATATTAATAAGTGGTCTATGTGTTCTTCTATACTATGTTCTACATATACACCAAATTTCAGCAAGATTGCAGCTGTTCTGGAGATACCTTCTAACAAATATCCATCCATCCATCTTTACGCATTTATATTATTAGTAAAATAATTAGTGGTTTTCCTAAATTCTGAGAAAAATATGTTTGATAGTATCAACCTATATAATTAAGCAGTTTGTCTACCATATGTCAATCCTGTTGTTATAAGAAGGGTAGGCAGATTACAGATTTCTATTTTGCGCAATATTTATTACACATTTATTACGAAACCTTGTAATATAAAATATTAATTAATTTATTGATTGTATTCCAGGCAATCGCATTAGCAGAAATGGGACGAGTAGATGACGCTTTGCCGGTTTTGAAAGCTGTAATGGATATAGATTTGCCTGAACAAAATCAAAAACATACATTCTTTGATGAAACTGTGAGATAATGATAAAGAAATAACTATTTAAATGTTGTAAATATGAAATAATTGATGATTTTTTTTAGATATCGAAGGTGAGAAGTTGTGTTGAGAAAACGGAAAATAAAGATTTACAAAAGGAGTTTGAAAATATTGAAAAGGCACTCAGAGATAGAGATCTTATAGATAATCAGGTACAAAAAGATATTATCCATTTATTATATAGTCGTAATATAATTATCACACATTTATAGCTAAAAAGTTTTTGGCTTTTATTGGCTAGAAAGTTGTTTCATCATCATCAGCTGACTATAGGTCCCCGAGGGGCTCGGAGCCTATCCTAAGTTAGGGGTCACAAGGTTTTAATTAACTACGCTGGCCTAGTGCGGGTTGACTTCACATATATAATTGAATTTCTTCGCAGATATGTGCAGGTTGCATCACGACGTTTTCCTTCAACTTATGAATGTTAAATTCAGAAAAAGTTGTTTAGTTAAATTTGTCATAATATGCAATGGAGTCATGTTAATCTGTAATTTTATAACATTGAAATTGTTTGGTCTTAATCTTAATGTTTTTTTTAGACGTTAGATTCGTTGGTGACGTCAGAGATAAATTTAACAAACAGGAACACGAGGAAGCTACAAGGCATGCCACAGATGCCTTACGGTATGAGGAAAAATAGACAGAACACAAGAGAAAATATGGTGTGATTGATGTAGTTTTTACAAAGACCACTGATTACTAAGAAATATCCTATTAAGAATGATTGCAAATCTGTTTTGTTTATAAAAATCTATTGTTTAATTTTTTTGTCACTTTATTTGCAAAGTGTGAAATTTTAAAAGTGATTCTGTAATTAAAGGTATGTGTCATTGAATAGTTGATCTATACATAGGATGGGATATTCCGAGTATTAAAAAAAACTAGTGTCAGTAATTAAAAAAATAAAATTCAATGAAATCACTGGAAATGTTTAAAATATAGACGTTGGAAAACAATGTATACAAAATGTAGTGTAAATTGATTACAAATCTACAAAGCTGAAGTTTTTTATTTATTTATATATAAGACCTATACGAAGTAGACGTATTTAAGTTAGAACGTCAACATCTACGTTTGCGTTTCCGTAACGTACAGGCTACGCCTACGCCTACATCAACGCCTACGTCTCCCTCTACGTTAATGCCTACGTGCGAGTCTACGCCTCCGCTAACGTATGCTCCTACTTCCGAGCCTACTAAAATTTAAAGGTGACTTCTAAAGCGTAAAATATGTCTCAACATATTGTGATTCGACTTTCCTGTTATAAAGTAAACACAATTAAGTTAACGACAATCTGAAAGTTTCCATAACCAAGTTGTTTATTTTGTTTGCTAACGGTTTCTAATGTGCTTGAAGCGCTAGTTCAACGATATTAGGTAGGGTCAAAGTAACAAAGTTGATTTAAGTTACTAAACACTAGAATTATACTAATATTATAATCACGAATGTTAAGATGGATGGATAGATGGATGTTTGTTTGAAGGTATCTCCGAAACGGCTCAACGGATCTTGATAAAATTTGGCACAATATAGAACTTAATCTGGAAGAACACATAGTCTACTCCTTAAATTGTTATTTAATAACGCGTGGGCGGAGTCGCGGGCCATAGCTAGTTCACACATAAAGTAGAAAATTACTGTGTGCATATGTAAATTGCTATAACCATGCATTATTTAAAAAAAGAGTAGGTCGGCACATGAAAGATTTTTCAATAAAACGTACGTTAAGAACAAGAGTTATAGTATTGTAAAAATCGCAGACTGGTTTTATTTGTTCTCCTTTGAATGCCGCAAGCCATGTCAGTTCCGTTGTTTTTATTTTAAAATACTCTGGCTTGTTTTTCCACGAGTAAGGTATCTATACACATTATAATTATATTAGAAGAAATGAATTTACTTTTTCCACGGAAACAACGCCTTTATTCTTTCTTTTCTTTACTAACATACATCATGCCAATTAAATATCGGAAACTCAAACAGCCTTATCGTTGTAAAATAACGTTTCTAAGAATACCATTGACGCCGTAATTTAGGATTAGTTGTTGAATAAGCTTTTAAATAAAAGTTAGAGTATTGAACAGATGACGCGGCCTAGAAAATGATACATCTAGTGAAAGGTGACATGAATAAAAAGATGACTGACATATTGGAAGATAGATCGATTTACGGGGTTAGACAAAGTGCATTACGAAGCGATTCCATAAAGAACATCAAAAATGTATGGAACTGACACGCGACAATCACGTGACTTATCGAAAGTTATTGTCAGTTCTATACATTTTTGAAGTTCTTTATGGAATCGCTTCGTAATGCACTTTGTCTAGCCTTGCTGGAGGATAAAAAACTGGTGCGTCTACCCTGAGTGAGTAGGATAGTGAGATGATATATACTTTCGAACCTTGCATTTAAGTGTCACATGCAGGTTAGCACATGTTCCGGTTGTATGCATGTATCAATTTATGCGAGACAATAATGCTCCATATTAGCAGCTGTCATAACCACGCTATCGATCTGGATGATTGTCTACCACACATGTAATTTAATAGAGTGTAAATTGTAAATTAATTACATTGAGAAGTATAAATGAATTAACTTGAATAAATAGCATGTGTGCAATCTGTTTATTTGTATTTTGACTTTTAAATTGATCTTATCAAGTCTCTAATGATGATATTTATCATAAACCTTTCGCCCTGATAAAATGTTGACTGCGGCCACATAAATTATGTAGTTTGATATGGCCAACAGACTTCTTGATGATTGAGATCTTACTATTTACTTCTTACTATGTTACTAATATTATAAATGCGAATGTTTAGATGAACGGCTGAACGGATCTTGATGAAATTTGGCATAGAAAAAGAACATAGTCTGGAAGAACACAGGCTACTAATTAATTCTTTTTTCAATTCCGCGCACACGGAGTCGCGGGCGTTGGCTAGTTTAGTTATAAATAATAACTATGGTTGAAAAGCTTCGGTGTCGCTGAAATATTGACATTTAAGTACGCCTTTGTTTGAACAATGAAAATCATAAACGACTGAAACTTTGTAGTTGCAAAGGTTAAAAGTCATTCACACTTCAATTTGAAGTACTTGATGAAAAATGAAGCAGTCTGGAAAATTGAAAACTAAAATTTAGGCCTATACTAGCTGTCGCCCGCGACTCCGTCCGCGTGTTTGTCTAAAAAATAAAAAAAATTAGGAGTGGACTACCCTTAACATTTAGGGGGATGAAAAAAAGATGTTGGCTGATTCTCAGACCTACTCAATATGCACACAAAATTTCATGAGAATCGGTCAAGCCGTTTCGGAGGAGTAAGGGAACGAAAATTGTGACACGAGAATTTTATATATAAGATTACAAACTATAGTTATGTGTTAACAATATTATTTAATTAATAATATAATTCTTAATATAATAAATGAAGAATAAAGTCAATTTATGATGCGTTTAAATAACAGTTTGATAGTTTATAATATGTCTAGTTTTAAAAAACAGCCGAAATTCAATATCAATGAGTTACAAATGAACGTTACTAGGTTAATCCAGCTGTGATTAGTTTGCGTTTAATTTAACATCGACTTTCCTCGACAGTGGAGTTCCACTTTAATTAAACGAAGTACCGATATTGGGTTTTATAGCTTTGCTGTAAACGATTCGTTGTCACACAAACCCTCACATAGCTACAGCCAGTAATTGCAACGAAAGTTAATTAACTTTAAATTGTGCATTTCATGTTTAAAATCTCCTATCTAATTAAACTTTTGCAAAGTTGTATGTGTTCGCTTTTCATTTGTTTTTGTGTTACAAAATCCATGAATTGTTTGTTATCCGTGTGTTTAGAAATGAAGTTACATCAGAACTTTATATAGTAATAATTTAATGCAATTTCAAAATTATGTAATATTTGCTTTTAAAATAAAATCGCCAATCATATCCTATTTATTAACACTATATGTTTTTCAAGTAAGAAAAGGTAACGATTGCAAGTTAACCCAGTGTTTCTGATACCAAAATCTCTGTATTATCGTCTGTCATTATTTAAAAAAAAACAAAGAAAGTATAATAATATGTTTTAAATGGAGATTTTAACGTCGAAAATCCACGGTAAGTGACTTTATATTTTAGTTTGCACTTAAAAAAATTCATTGAATTTAAATTAATTATCATACGTAGGCTTATTTATTCTTTTAGGTTCAAATGCATTTAATAGTTAATGTATAATAATAGAGACTGGTTAAGTACATTCCTGACATTATACTCGTTGAAGTTAAGATGACTTAACTTGGAATATTACTTGGAGAGATTAAGTTGGATTATAAGATAATACTAATACAACTTGAAGTTGTTAACAAGGACTTTACTTCGCTTTACAATGAATCTATTAACTATAAGTTCTAGAGTTAGTTGGTATCTTTACAACAACTTCATATAATAATTATCATTCTTGTTAATAATATGTGTTGTATTGGTTTTAGTTCTGGATTATAATAAAAACTATACATATAATATCAAATAAGTTACTGGCGTTTAAATTTTTTTTTTATATTATATATATTTATAATAGAGTTGAAAATACTTAATGTTTTACGAAATTACCTTTTATATACTTGCACTATATAAAATATGAAGCAGCATTTTTATCTTTAAGTGACATTTTAAGTTAGAATAGCACAGGTAAGAGACATTAAAACAATGCAACAATAAAACTGAAAGCTCTTCAAAGATTATATAGAATCTAATGGCACAGTAAAGTTGTGAAAAGTTCCGAGCTAAGATATTTCAACGACAATTTAACGAGGATCGTAAATGATATTTCTGTGGTTGTGCAAGGAAACGCGAAGATCAGCACACTTTGTTTTAAAATTAAAGAAAAAACCAATAATAATGTACGTACAATGTTTAATCTCTGGATAGAAAGTTAGAGGTATACTGCACATATTTTTATAATGAGAAATTTAATAAACCTTCATAATAGAGTCATTAAAGTAATTATATTACTTATTATAACTGTCACCCGAGACTCCGTCCTCGCGGAATTAAATAAAAGGAAATCAGTACCCTATGTATTCTTCCAGACTATGTTCTATATGTATGCCAAATTTCATCGAGATCCGTTCGGTAGTTCTGGAGATCAGACAAATATCCATCCATCTAAAGATTCGCATTTATAATATTAGTAAGAAAAGTGAGATAAAATGATAAGCTAAGATTTACGTAACAATGAAGAAGTTTCCAACTAATCTTAAAGACATAAAAATAGCGTTTTTGAAGAACAAGTCATGTTTGACCTTGACCTATAAATAGCCTCTTATATTTTTTGTAAAGATTTTCATGCCGCTTATTAGGCAATAACAACGATTTCAAGTTAATGTCAAATGTAAGCGAATATGTAAGTTTACTTTAAGTAATTTACGTGTAAAACACTTAATTTCTTCGTAAATTTTATTCTCTTATTTCCTCGGCTTTTCTCAATAGTCTTTCAACTCAACAATTCAACAAATTCTAAAATTACAAATGTTAATTTGTTATTTATGTAATACATTTTAAATGTAAATAAACTTAGGACAAAGGTTAAAATATAAAACAAACTCTTTGAAATGTGTCCAATGTTTTATTTCTGCATGTTTATTCATGAACGTCTGGAGTGAACATTACACAACCGATACAATGCAAATGACGAATGAAAAGTGCTTTTAACTGGAAAATTCCAGTCGTTAAATATAAACTATATTTTACGTACAATACTTTTACTTGTACAGCTATCACCCTCTTGTATTTTAGTTCTATTAAACCGCAATGGAAACAAGTTATCCACGAATCCACTAACAATTCGAAATTCAAGTAAAAACAGGCTTATCGATGTTCGCTATTTGTCAAAGCTCAAAGCTATGTTGTTTGTCTCATAATTTATGAAGTTGATCTCTATTTAGATAAAGCATTCCATAGTTTATCGTAACAGGGATCATAAAAAATATGAATCTGTTACAATTAA